GGAGCCCTGGGAGGAGGGCGGTGAGCCCCGGCGGGGCTCCGCTCTCCCCCTGGCGGCCAGAGCGCAGGGGGCAGGGCGGCGAGAGGGCGGCGAGCCCCAGCCAGGGCTCACCGCTCTCCCCCCAGCGGCGGGGAGGGTGCCGGAGGGAGGGCAGCCAGAGCGCCGGGGGGAGGGCGGCGAGCCCGGCTGTGGCCCCGCTCTCCCCGGGGGCCGGAGTGCCGCGCTGCCCCCCTCCAGGTGCCGCCCCAAGCACAAGCTTGGTGGGCTGGTGCCTGGAGCCGGCCCTGGCGAGTGTGAGTGCTTAGGAAAGATTAAAATAGCTAATGTGCAAAGCTTGGCTAACCAATGAGGAGGGGAGATACAAACGCTTGGTACAAATATTTGAAAGGCATGAACATCAAGGAAGGAATAGAATTCTTGTCGTGGCTCAAGGAGGATAGTTAAGAGTAATGGGAGAAAATTGAATGCAGTAAAATGTAGAATAGCAGGAACATTTTTCTAATAATAAAGCCTGTCAGGGAAGAGAATAGTTATTAAAGGAAGTGGTGGAAGGCCCATTAGAGAAATTATTGAAAACTAGGGCAGACAAAGATTTGGAGAATAGGGATAATTCTGCACTGCCAGAAGGAGAGATTTGATGATCTAATAGGCATTTTCCACCGCTAATATCTGAATTCTTTTTGTCTGACCTTTTAACGTCTAGCTTTTAACGTCTGTTTCTTAAAGTAGGATTATGAGAATCTTATATTCTGGGGAGCCAGACTGACACAGCACATTTCCTGTCCAGTCTTACTGAGATGCTGATGGAGGCCTCTACCCCGCCCAGAGCTTCTTGTTCAGAAGCCAAGAGTAGGGTTTTCATTTCATATGATATCGCTAGCTCATTATCAAGAGATGAATGTATGATGAGTATCTTCAGTTCCTTCACTGCATCATCTGACCATTCCGAGGCTATGTCTACACTAGCACTTTTGTCAGCAAAACTTTTGTCGGTCAGGGGTGTGAAAAAAACACCCTCCCCCGACCAGTAAAAGTGACACTGACAAAAATGCCGGTGTGGACAATGCTATGTCAGTGGCAGAGCATCTCCCGCTGACGTAGCTACTGCCACTCATTGGGGGTGGTTTAATTATGCCCGTGGAAGAGCTCTCTCCTACTGGCATAGAGTGGCTATGCAGGAGACCTTGCAATGGCGCGGCTGCAGCGGTACAGTCGTGTAGACATAGCCTGAGTTGGAGAAGTTCCGTTCTGTTTGGGAGCTGCTTTTTTCACAGATAATGGCAAAGAGGAGCCTAGGTGTAGATAGCTGAGGCTCTCAATTTTCTTTTTGTAAAATATGTTTTGCCCCCTCTCCTCCACCAGTCTTATTGTCCTTCCTACCTTAAACTGTGAACAATTAGGGGTGAGGACTGTTTTATAGTATATTTTGAAAGTGCCCAGAACACTGCAAGTACTTCTAAAATACAAATTACTATTAATAAGCATGTGACGTGACTCTTCAATTGTGGGCTTTACGACCAATTATTAAGAAATATGAATCTTAAATATATTCACAAATTCATCATATATTTGTTCTGAATATTACATAGTTATTGTGACTATCAGAGGCATTAGAAATAGAACTCATTCGTATCCTAATTATCCCTATAATTAGAATTTCAGCAAAAGAATAATGTTTCACCTTCTATAGTTCAACCAAAGCATTTCACATATTTTCATTTTATTTCGGCAGCAAAAGGTGCCTGGATTCTTACTAAGGAACAGAACAATATCCCTCTGTAGGCAATTATTTCTGTAGTACCAAGTTTTCCATGAGCATTACCATTTTCCAATGTAGTATTTAGTACATACCATGCAGGGTTCACACCCACTATCATCACCATTTTCAAAGCAATTCTCTTGTGCAAATTCCATTTTTCTATTGATGTGGCCAAACAAATTACTCCAATTAATAGCAAATGAAAATCTTTGAAATAAGCAGCTGCCACCTGAAATCAAAAACAATTTGTTGCTGAAACAGTTGCTTTTTATCTATCATTTTTAACATGACCAAATAAAAAATATCAGCCTCAGCAGAAACAAGTTAAGGCATGCATTGAAATATGTGCTGGAAAGGTCCCATTTTCTTTTAATTAGGTCAGTGCTATTGCTTAAACCCATATGAATCACTGGGTACATGGAGTTAAATAGGTGTGAAACAATGGAAGGAAGAGGATAATAAGTAAGGCTATTGATTAATCGCAGTTAACTCACGCGATTAACTCAAAAAAATTTATCACAATTTAAAAAATTATCCAAGATTAATCACATTGTTAAACAATAGAATACCAATTGAAATTTATTACATATTTTTGGATGTTTTTCTACATTTTCAAACTTATTGATTTCTGTAGAAGACGGAATACGAAGTGTACAATGCTTATTTTATATTATTTTTTATTACAAATATTTGCACTGTAAAAATGGTCAACAAAAGAAATAGTATTTTCAGTTCACCTCCTACAAGAACTGTAGTGCAATCTCTTTATCGTGAAAGTGTAACTTACAAATGTAGATTTTTTTTGTTACATAACTGCACTCAAAACAAAATAATGTAAAACTTTACAGCCTACAAGTCCACTCAGTCCTACCTCTTGTTCAGCCAATCACTCAGACAAACAAGTTTGGTTACAAGTTGCAGGAGATAATGCTGCCTGCTTCTTGTTTACAATGTCACTTGAAAATGAGAACAGGCATTTGCATGGCACTGTTGTAGCCGGCGTTGCAAGGCATTTACATGCCAGATATGCTAAATGTTTGTATGCCCCTTCTTGCTTCGGCTTCCAGAGGACATGCTTCCATGCTGATGATGCTCATTAAAAAAAGAATACGTTAATTAAATTTGTGACTGAACTCGGGGGAGAATTGTATGTCTCCTATTCTGTTTTACCCACATTTCATGTTATAGCCGTCTTGGATGATGACTCAGCACATGTTTGTTTTAAAAACACTTTCACAGCAGATTTGACAAAGTGTAAAGAAAGTACCAATGTGAGATTTCTAAAAATAGCTACAGCACTTGACCCAAGATTTAAGAATCTGAAATGCTGTCCAAAATTTGAGAGGGACGAGATGTGGAGCATGCTTTCAGACGTCTTAAAAGAGCAACACTCAGATGCGGAAACTACAGAACCCGAACCACCAAAAAAGAAAATCAAACTTCTGCTGGTGGCATCTGACTCAGATAATGAAAGTGAACATCCGCCACTCTGCTTTGAATTGTTATCAAGCAGAACCCATCACCAGCATGGACGCATGTCCTCTGGAATGGTGGTTGAAGCATGAAGGGACATATGAATCTTTAGCGCATCTGGCAGGTAAATATCTTCCGACACTGGCTACAACAGTGCCATGCATTATCTCCTGCAGCATTATCTCCTGCAAATTGTAACCAAACTTGCTTGTCTGAGTGATTGGCTGAACAAGAAGTAGGACTGAGTGGACTTGTAGGCTCTAAAGTTTTACATTATTTTATATTTGAATGCAGTTATTTTTTGTACATAATTCTACATTTGCAAGTTCAACTTTCATGATAAAGAGCTTGCACTACAGTACTTGTATTAGGTGAATTTAAAAATACTATTTCTTTTATTTTTTACAGTGCAAATATTTGTAATAAAAAATAAATATAAAGTGAGCACTGTACACTTTGTATTCTGTGTTGTAATTGAAATCAATATATTTGAAAATGTAGAAAACATCCAAAGATATTTAAATAAAGGGTATTCTATTATTGTTTAACAGAGCAATTAATTGTGTGATTACTCGCGATTAATTTTTTTAATCATGCAATTAATCACGATTAATTTTTTTAATCGCTTGACAGCCCTAACAATAAGGTTCATGATGTAAGCAACCTAAGATCATCAAGCACATTTCACATATGACCTAAGCTAAAGGTGAAAGCCTGCTGCATTAGTCCATTTTATATTTAAACCATCCAGCTACCTCTCCATTGCAAACACTTTGAGGTATAAGGATTTAGAACATGATCCTACAGTGCCTATCACAATGGTGCCTCAAGCTCAGGACTATTCACATGTTTAAATGTTTTTCTGGTTTGAGATCAACTGGTATCAATTCCCATTGATATCAAGGTAGATGATATTGGGCCCTTAGCATTTCATATTTCTGATGTAATGTAGTGTAACATTAATAACACTTTGCATGTCCATCAGTAGCGTGCTGGGGGCGGGGGGAGCGATTTCCTGTCAATTTCCTGGTGCCTTTGTACTCACCCGGGGGAGTGATTAAAAAAAAAGGCGCCACCCGCTGCGGCGCTTTTATTTTACTCACTCGGCGGCACTTCGGCAGTGGGACCTTCACTCGCTCCGGGGGTCTTTGGTGGCATTTCGGCGGCGGGTCCTTCAGTGCTGCCGAAGACACCCAGAGTGAGTGAAGGGCCCGCCGCCGAAGACCCAGAGCGCCACCAAGTGAGTAAAATAAAAGCACCGCAGCAAGTGGCGCCTTTTTTTTTATCGCTTCCCCTGTTCCCTCCACCTGGCCAGGCCACTGATGTCCATAGCACTTTTTCATCTATTGATCTCAAAGCACTTTGCAAAGGGAGATAAGGGTTATTATCGCCATTTCACAGATGTGACAACTTTGGCTCAGAGATGATGCCTGCAATAATTTGTGCTGGCTTCTGCTGCAGGTTTGAGCATGAGGCGGAACCAATTGAATAGATCTCGGTCCAGAAAGATCTGTATGCTTAACTTTGAGCATGCAAATAGTCCTGAGCTTGAGGCCCCATTGTGATAATTGCTGCAGAGACACATAGTAAAGACAGCTGATGAAATTGCAGCATTACGCAGTTCTTTCTTTGGGGATTCCACAGTTTATGGCTATATAATATGTGCAGCGTAAGAAGATAGGGAAGAAGAGGAAGGTTACCTCCTTGGATGCCATAATACCAAACATTGGGAACATTAAGGCAGGAAGTAAAGCTGAAACAGCCAGTGGCAAAGCTTCTGTTAGCCAAAAGATCGCAACTACAAACAGCGTGTATGCACATTCTGCTTCCTAGAATACAGAAGATATCATTAAAAATAAGATTGGATTCATCTAGCAAACAATCCTACAATGGTATAGGGGACTAATCCAAACCCCACAGAAGTCGATAGAAGGACTCGCGCTGACTTAATTCGGTTTTGAGTTGGGGTCCAAAGCTTAATTGTACTTAATATTATCATCAGAAGCAGATAATTTGATTTATATCCTTATAAATAATAAAAAACATTATGATGAACTATTATTTTATGTATTTATTTTTTATGTATTATTTTTCTTTGTTTATAAACATGCACCATTAAAAAGAAACGCCTGCCATTTGCTCCAGGCACTTCATGGGACATTTTGAAACTACAATTATACAAGTAGATTATGCCAGGAACCTCTCTTCACCCAAGAATTAAAATAAATCATAACCCCCAGCAACTAAAAATATCCTTTTGATCTTTAAGATTGCCCAGAGAACTCCCATGCAAGCAGTACGTGAAATCCTGGCCCTGCTGAAGATAATTAGATTTTGCCGTTGACATCAATGGAGCAAGGATTTTACCCAGTCTGCTTCGATACAGTTGTCCTTATATCTTGCAGTTTTAACATATCTTTCATTCTGAATCCTGAAACACAGGATTCACTTTATCTTCACCACTGAAATGCAGCTACTGTTGCAGCAATTGAAACTGTAGAAGGAATTGGGGTAGGTAGAATGAAATTACCAAAATTGGAGTTTGGCCAAACCTGCTCTGAGCTTTGGGTTTCTACTGAAACCAAATGCCTTGTGTTTGGAATTCTGTTTGGCCTACTTTGCACAGCTCTGGTTTATACTTCTGCTCTTGAAAAAAGTGCCTTTCTTACCAAGCGAGGTCAGGAGAGGAAAATGGCATATGTATTGTTGGCATCCTTTCATCTATGAGAGAGGGTGGGAATTGCAGGCTATGATGGTTTGCAATGTCTCGTGTGACTGAATAGTCCAATCTGAGATTTGCATAATCTTTGGCAGTTATTGCAAATGTATGTATCTTGCTTGGGAGCTGCTTGCTTCCTACGGGCTCTTTTCTGTTCAGGCTGTTCAGGAGCCAACTTCTGTCATGGACTGATACCCTGATGGAGACGATGGCACCACTTGTTACGATCATCATATGTATGTACAGTGGCTAATATTAAAAGATGTAGCTTTGGGGATAAATGATAGGATACAGTTTTTACCTTAGGAAGGCTGGTTCAAATCCAACCCAAGGGAGTAATGGCCAAACATTCCTTCTACTGGCAGTTTTTGGTCTATGTGAAAGAAGCGTAAGTGTCTGTATTGCAAAACTTCTACCAAATTTGACACTAATTTGCACCTTTGTTCACAGATTTAGCAGAAACTGGACTGCTCCCCACCAACTAATGGTGAATCCTGCAGAAAAAAAGAGGAGGTGGATTTGTGAGGCATGTGGAGAAGGTTGCTATCTGATAGTGTCTGTTCTGTGGATAACAAGACACCTTCATTCTCCAGGACCTTCAATCTAGTGCCTTTTATTTGCAGTAAAAATATACTAATAGTTTAGAAAAGCAAGCAAGCAGTGGTATCCTTTGCATCGCTGTGTATGGCGTTTACATTGGAATATGTATGAAAGCACCTCATGTAGTTTCTCCAATATCAGCAAAATTTAGGCCCCCAAAAGTCAAATTAATGTGCAGGATTGTATATAACCTTTGTCAGGTTCAGTGAAATCCTTACTGGCTTAATGCAGCTACTTCTGAAGGATTCAGTGAATGATTTATTTTCTCCCTTTTAGTTGTGTAATTTTATAATGGGAGTTTTCCACTGAGACTCAATGACTTCTGAACTAGACTTTTACGTGCTATCATTTTTTCTACTGAGATCAGATCAGTGCCAAGAAGAAGTACCAGAAAAACCCTTATCCAGTGTGATTGTTCTGCCAACATGGAATTGGCATACCAGGAGCCATTCAAGCCTCAGAAGTTACTGGCCTGAAATGACTTCATACATTTATTTTAAGTAAAAAAAATGAAAAAATGATCCCTGCTATAACTTTTCACTATATTTGTAGGTCACCTTGTTGTCTTGATATGGTATATTTATATGCCATTTATTTATACATACTAAAATATAGGTAACCTGACCTGAAATTGAAGACATGGGTCATGTCAGATCAGGATTTTATTAAATATGATAACTTTTTTAATCATTGACGTAAGAGGGCCTGATTCTTGTTTACAGCTAGGCCCCTTGCCCTACACAGGAAGTACAAAGGACCCTTAAAGTGGGTAAAAATTGCATTTACTGAGACTGTACGTGTAGATTGTTGCTTAGATTAAAAACTCTTCAAGGTAGGGAGTTTCTTCTTGTTCTGTGCCTAGCATAGTGGGGCTCTGGCCCATGGTGGGGGGCACCTTGTCACTACTGCGTATCTCCCAACATTTCAGGGGGCTAAAGCAAGATGCAGCGCCACTCAGATTTGGCCCATCTACTTCACCGTAGACAATGATGGAAGGGCAGTGGGGCCAAACCTGAGTGGTGCTGCTACCCTGTGTGCCAGGTCACAATGCCACTTGGTTTGGGGGCCATCTTTAATGGTGGTGTGATGGGATCCCTGGGGTGCAGCCTGGGACTGTGAGACCACTGTGCCCCCTAAACTCTCTCCAGCCTGTGCTGTCTCTCACAATGCTTTGCTAGTGACCAGTAGCAAACCCCTCCAGGAGCTGTGATCACTCAACACAACTGTACCTTCCTTGAAGAGCTTACAGCATAATTCCGACAAGTGAACAGAAAGCATAACAACTCAAACACATAGGGCTAACTCCCCTTACATAAGTAGTACCAGTGAAGTGAAGTTTCAAAGTATTCACTTGAGTGAGTTAGACAAGCAGGGGTAGGCCATGGTGCCCAGAGGACGATGATGGCAGCAGCAAAAGGGGGCACTGAGCCATCCTGCCTGGCAACTGCTTTTGTAGCTTTTGTATTGGATGTATTATGATCAACAGTGCTCTGCTTCCTCACCTCAGCTCCCTCAGAGAAGGACAAGATTTTGTCCTAAAATTCTCATACGTTCAACAAGTGCAGTGATTTAGCATTTGCTCTGAACTTCAGTCTTGCACACAAGAACAGTTTGCTTTTTAGTCTGTTAGCAGGCAGAAAGAAAAATATTAAGAAATTAACATCTTGTAAAGTTATGACAAACACTATGGGGTAATAATAATTGGCTGAAGGTAATCCTAGGCATGTATCTGCATCCTGCAGATTTTTGTATTGAAAAAATGCATGACAGCTTTATCAAAAGTGCTGGTGGAAATTTAGGGGTTTGGACAGCTGGAGAGGTGATAGCTGAGGCTTCTGACACTCAGGGAGATGTGGGAACATTTTGTTTTTGTAGCTGCAAAGCAACTGAAGCCTTTGATATGGGCGAGTTGGTGCATCTGCTCTTTAAAATCCTGATTCAGTAAGATAATTGAGTGCTTGCTTAAATTAACTCATTGCAATCAATGAAACTACGCACGAGTTTAAAGTTACGCACACTCTGTACCTTGCTGAATAGGGGCCTAAATTTGGGAGTGGATGCAGGGTTGAATTCTTCATTTGCCACCCCAACAAAACTACACCTTACTTCACCCAACAACAATACAGAGGGACCAGATGGATTTTTCTGCGAAAAGGATCAGCAGTGAAAGCATTACCAATATTAAACTTATCATGAGACTTCAGAGTTGAGACGTCATAGATTCATAAATTCCAAGGCCAGAAATGATTATCTAGTCTGACCTCCTGTATAGCACAGGCCATAGCACTTCCCCGAAAAAATTCCTGGAGCATATTTTTTAGGAAAACATCCAGGCCTGATTTAAAAATTGCCAGTGATAGCAATTGACCCATGGTAAATTGTTCCAATGATTAATTACTTTCACAGTTAAAAATTTACACCTTATTTGCACCTGAATTTGTCTAGCTTCAACTTCCAGCCATTGGATCATGTCATATCTTTCTCTGCTTGATTGAAGAGTCCATTATTAAATATTTGTTCCCCATACAGGTACTTATAGATTGTAATCAAGTGACTTCTCAGCTCTCTCTTTGTTACACTGTATAGATTGAACTCTTTGAGTCCATCACTATAAGGCATGTTTTCTAATCCTTTAACCATTCTAAAGGCTCTTCTCTACCCCCTCGTCAATTTATCAACATCATTCTTGAATTATGAGCACCAGAATTGGACACAGTATTCCAGCAGTGGTCGCACCAGTGCCAAATATAGAGGTAAAATAACCTCTCTACTCCTAACTGAGATTCCATTGTTTATGCATCCAAGGATTTCATTAGTCCTTTTAGCCTCAGTGTCGGAATGGGTGCTCATGTTCAGCTTATTATCCACCACGATCCCCAAATCTTTTTCAGAGTCACTGCTTCCCAGGATAGAGTCCCCCATCCTGTAAATATGGCCTACATTTTTTGTTCCTAGATATATACATTTACATCTAGCCATGTTAAAACACATACTGTTTGTTTGTGCCCACTTTTACTAAATGATGCAGGTCGTGCTGCATCAGTGGTCTGTCCTCTTCATTATTTGCCACTTCCCCAATTTTTATCTCATCTGCAAACTTTATCAGTGATGATTCTATGTTTTCTTCCAGGTCACTGATAAATGTTAAATAGCAGAGGAGCAAGAACCTATCTTTACAGGACCCCACTAGAAATACACCTGCTCAATGATGATTCCATGTTTACAATTACATTTCAAAACATGACCTGAATGGGGCAGTTCATACCTCTACAGAGTTATTTGAAGGAAAACAGTGCAAATTCTGACATTCATTAATTTAACATAAATTAATTTAATATTTTGAAGGTTGTTTTCACAATCATAGGCAATAGAGCCATTTTTGAAAAATGTAGATTCTGGAGAAAAATTACATGGGTAGTTTAAAAAGAAGAACAATTATGCATCAATTTATGTTGCTGCACAGCCATATTCTCTGGGCCCTGAGAAAAGTGTATGTTGACCAAGGAGAATTCTGGCTGCCTTCCAGAATTCATTGTACCACAATGTCACAATATGGAAGCCACTATCCTTGACAAGAACTCATAAATTGCTAGGAAATGAGCTATAGATAAATCTGTTTATTGTAGGCAGGGCTGATCTCACCGCTTTTTATTAAGGTTGCTCAACATTTCCCATTACAAGACCTTGTGTTCAGTTGCTTATTACTTTGCCAAACTTTAATCACTGAAATTGTCCATGCTAGGATAATGCTAGGTCATTTTCCATTTGACCTTTCTTGAATAGTTGCAGCCAAAGCAGTTTAGCTGTTTACAAGAATGAGGCTGGTGAAAATACATTGTTTTGCCAATGTTAAAAAATTCTGGTAACCTTTTTTTCCTCAGTTAGTTCAAGTGGCAGAAATCTGTGTGGTGGATCTAAAGGTTCCAACACTGCTGATGACCCATATGGGTGTCAACATGATGCCACATGATGGAATTTCTGTTTGTTTGTTTTTTCAGTTTGCTTTTTTAGAAACCTAGGAAATCGCACACAAAAAAATATATTAAAAGAATGTTATTAAAAATGCAAAGTGCAAATATTCAGAAGTTAGGAAATGCCAAAATTAATGTTGCCCATGCAACCTTAATTTGCCCCCTCCCCTTGTGCATATGCATTATGATACAGTTTTAAATTACAGGATCACATATTTTTTCCTTAGACTCCTGCCTCTTTCAGTGCACAGGATAGAACTGCTCTGGGGATGAATCAGGGAAGATTAGTGAAAGAGACTGTTGTCTGTAGGACCTCTGCTTTGTTGGTTGCAGAAGTCGGAAGGTGTGTAGTGAATGAGGCAGGGATTGCAGTATGAAAAAGGAATGTCTCATGGTCAAGGCAGTGGAATTCTGCCCTGGAGAACTGGAGTCTATCCCTTCCTCTGCCACAGAATTCATATGTGATGCTGGGCAAGTCACTTAAACCAAACTTTTCACAGGTGGTCACTAATTGCGTGTTCCTCATTTTCTGGATACCTGACTTGAGATCCAGGGGCCTAATTTGCATAAGTTCTGAGCATTCACAGCTTTGACTGAAGTAGATAAGAACTGCACATTGAACATATAGAGTACTAATGCTAAGCACTCTGAAAAATCAGGTGCTAGGTATAGGGATAGGAATAGGGATAATACCACCCCCTCACCTCTCATGGATGCTGTGAAAATGAATTCATTAATATTTATGAATGCACTCAGATGCCATAGTGATGAGTACTACAGAAAAGTCCATGAGGAAACGAATAACTCTGTCTTCATAGCAGGGTTTGTATAGAGTGCAGTAAATAAGGCCTTGAACAATAAGAAGAAAACAAACCACTGAAACCTGTGCAATTAGTGAGCACCATCCACTGATTGAGGAGGAGTCCTAAGGAAAAAATAATGTGATCATTTAAAATCTATATCATAATTCATACACACAAGGGGGCCCCATTAAGGTTGCACAGGCAATCTTAATTCTGCCATTTTCTACCTACCTTTGCAGTCTTAAAAATGTTCTTTTAATATAGCTTTTTGTGTTATGGTAAAACTACTGTAGCCATAGACTCTTGATTAGCCCTTTTGAACAATATTCATATATTCATTTTCCAAATACATTACAGAGAGGCCTTCTTATAAGAAACTATTAAAAAAAATCCAGCATGTTTATAAGAATCAGTTCTCTGTGTCCCAGACCATATTATACATCTCTTAATTACAGTGCTTTTAAATGAATGAAATTGATTAAGTGCATTCATATATCCGTTTTATTGCTTGACATTTTTAATCTTCCCCCCACCTACTTCCTGCAACCTCCTCATCCTGGGAGAAAAGGGAAGCTTATGCCATAAACAAAACTTAAAAATAAAAGTGTCCTGGATTGCTTGAAGCCCTCCTTTTAACCCACCAAATAGGTACAGCACAGGCACCAGCACTGCAAGCTTCATCACATTGCCCTGCCAGTGTGCTCCAGTCCTAACATTGAGCCCTCTGCCACAGAAGGAAAGCTGGCTGAGTGTGCATGTCCGGGCAGATTTTGGCTTCCTAAAACAGCCTGTCAGGAAGGATGCCCATTAGCATCAGCAGTGATGACACAACAATTAGATGTTTTCTTTAATATAAATCTCAGCTCTTGTAGTTAAGATGAGCTGAAACATGGTGAGGTGGGTTTTTTTTAAACTTTAAAAGTGGTTGCTAGCAAATTGCTATCATTTCAACTTCCATTAGGTGCTTTAAGTCCTGAAAGAAACTGGCCAGCTCAGCCGGGTGGTGGAGAGGGAATATGGACTCTGGACACACCTGCCCCCTTCTCATCCCTCTTGCATAGCAACACTGCTGGCAGCGGAGACCCTGGAAGATTTTTTATAATAAGTCATTGAACAAAACTGTAAACCCCGTATGTGAAGGAAGCCATGTATTCGGCTGCTGCCGTATCTTCAGCACCCCTAGTTCCAGTGCCTCTGGCTGGCAATGCTACCCACCTGGACTTTCTGCATTCCCCAGACACATTGCCACTGGCCTCTGGGCAAGTGTGCACAAGCATGGAAGGTTTGGGGCCCCCTCTTCCACTTGTGCTTTTGCACAGGGCCAGCCATGATCTCACTTTTAATACTGACATATTCAAACAGAGATTCTTAATCTAACCCAGTGTTGTTTCACTGGCATTTTCATTGGTTTGAACTGGATCCAGTGGTTTGGGCCATGTGCCAAATTCTCTGCTGGTGCAAATGAGTGCTGCTCCACTGAAGTAACTGGATCTGTGCCAGTTTATACCAGCAGAGCAGTTGGCCCCACGTTTCCATTTATCTATTGCTGTCTCTTTCATTTTTAAAGCAGTGTCTCAGTTTATACATTTTTAACCTCAAAAGACATACTTTCCTTCCTAGAACATGCTGCTTTGATGGAGGACAAGAAGCAATTCAAATCAATACATTCCTGTTTTGATTGGTGACAGATGGACTGATTAAGAATACATTTAGCATACCCATAACATTCAGATCACTTTACTGCTCAGGGAAAAATCTTTTCATTAACATTATTATTGACTTTTAACAAATGTCTTGATTACACAAGAATGGCCACATTTCACTAACAATAAACATGTTATCGTTTTCCACAAAGGGACAAATTCAGTTGGGTGTTAGATGCTCAGTAAATGCAAGGACTGTAATCTAAAACACTGATCTCATGTGCAACAATTGGACATTTTCTTAAATGTAAATTTGGCTTTCGCTGTTAGATTACACAAAGCATTTTTTCCCCTTTAAAAATAGTTGCTGCAAATTTCATCTGAAAGATTCAGGCAGACACACTTGAGAACAAGTGCAGAGCAGGGGGAAAGATACCAGTTGAGGGGAAAAGTTGGTTAAATGTAACTAGAGCAATGGACAAACATAAGGAATTCCACTTTTTTAGGAAGACATGTCCAGCCTGCCTAGATCTAAGATCAAATTCTTCCCTTTTCTTCTTTCTACACATATGAGCCAATGAAGCCTGTCAAGTGGAGCAGGAGCACTTGCTCTGTAGCAAACCTCTTCATTTCTGCTTTGGGCTCCAGGAACATGGGCTTAGGGGCAGGCCTATGAGTGCAGCAAGGAGGGACTGGGGAGCGTGGTCTGCTGCAGATGTTGTGGAATAGCTGAGATCTGTACTTAACGTTTTGGGACTGGCCAGTGAAACAATTTTTCAGCTGTACATTTTATTCAAATAAGGAATGCAACAGCTCCTACTCCAGTTCTCCAGTCTTCCAAAGAGACCTCCAGGTTAGACAAGAAAATTGATACTCCTGATATTTCTAAGATAAAGAAGAAGCAGAACCTTCCTTTTAAAAATATGAAACACAGAGATCTTTATACATCAGGAAGAAACAAAATAAAAGGCAAAAACCCATATTTCCCCCTTTTTAGTTCATCTATACTGTAAAATATACTGCAAATAGATTGAGCAACTTCATTGTGTCCAAAATTAAAACAAACCAAACAGGGTAGGATTTTCAGAATAGGCAATGTGATTTGGATGTCCAATTCCCAATGTTAGTGAGAAATAATGGTCACTTTGCTGTTTACATTAAACTTGTTCTGTTTTATATATTTCTGTAAAAACATTGCAATGTACTGAAAATAATCCCTGATGCAAACATATTTGAGAATCTAGCCATTCTGAAAGGACGTGGGAAACTCACACAGACATACAGTATATAATAATTGCCTATAACATCAGTTCGCTTACTTTGGTTCGAATGATGAGAGGCAGTGGAAGTAAAAGCAGTGGAGTGAAGAGAATCAGTAGGAACCTTCGGTAGATCCAAAGCTGACTGAAAATTTTCATTGCTGAGAGCTGATGGCTCAGTTTTCCGGTAGAAACTACCAAAAAAAAAAAATCAGATGGCCTATAAATAGTTGACTCTGATTAATATTTCTCTAAACTATCACCTTTAGCCTTTGCAACAGACTGGTTAGTCAAGCTAAGTTAAAAACAAATCTTTCTCTTTATTGTTTTAGTGTCTTTACTAACACTAGGAAGATAAGATTGGTGTTCACCTGTAAACCCAAGGCTAGAAATGTGCCCTGCATTTATGGTGTAGTTGTTTTCTCATTACTATCTTCTTCTCCCCCGTAATATATACATAATATATTCCTATAACTGGAATAGGGCGTAGAGAGCTAGATCCTGCAAGGTATTGAGAAAGCTCTTAACTACCATTGACCTAAATAGGAACTGAAGACCCCCACACTTACAGGAGTGGCCCCTTACAAGTTCAGGCCCAAGGACAGGTTATATCTCTATGCTTGACATTTTATTTATGTTAAGCTCAAGCCTAGTCTGCTCTGTTTTAAAGGGAGCCCAGGAACTAACAAGATCCACAGAAAACATGTGATCTGGAAGAAGAAAATTCTCTACCTACCCATGGCACTTCTAATACAGCTTTACTGTTAGTGAAAAAACAGGCTTCATTAGCATGAACACAACATAAGCTGACATTTTGGAAAGACATAATTGAGAACACATGCCTACAAAATGTAAAGTAGAATGGAGTGAAAGTCACACCTCTGACTGTAATGGCCCATGGCCTTGTATGTGCTGTGAGAGATGCACTCAGCTCAGAAAAGCTTTGCCAGGCTCCCACTGCCACCGATCCATTTTCATTTCCTCCACTGCGCAGAGTGATTGGCAGCTGGAATTTACTAATATTCAGCCCTTAAATAGCACTTTTCATCCATAGATCACCAAGGAAGGAAAATATCATTATCTCCCTTTTACAGAGGAGGAAACAGAGAGGTAGAGGGACTCGCTTGAGGCTGCACAGCAGACGAGTAGCCGAGCCAGGATGTCTCCCGCTTCACTGATGCCCGTGATGCCTCCCATCAAATTAGGGGTGATGTAAAGAGGAGATGGCAATGTGCTGGGCCCTGATGAGGAGTCAGTTCTCTGAATAGTAAAGGGAGGGACAGAAGCAATGGATATTGGGCAAAGGCCATGACATCAATAGGATTTAGCCACTGGAGTGGCAGACAGTACTATCCACTTTTCTTTCCACGTATTCAAGAGTTCCCTTTTCTGAACTCATAAGCAATGTGGGGTCAGAAATGACTCTCTGACCAGCGGCAGTATTTAATACATATGTACACACATACCTACTAAGGGGGATGCAATCTGATGCACTTTAAACCTACACTTTTATCATGTTCCCTTTTTCTGATTCCCGCCCGATGAATAATCACTTCTGACCCTTGCAGAATTCCATCATGGAAAATGCAATCAGATTGCAAAACAATAAAATTAAATGAAAAAATAAAAATAAAAACCAACATGCAGAACAACTGGAAGAAACAACTCTGTAAGATTTTAATAAAATGTGATTTAGGAATCTGGACAAGAAAACATGGGTTTAGGTCTCAGCAGAGGTGCCACTAAAAACATTTATTTTGTACAGGTTCCTCTGATCTCTTTAGCTTGATTTTCTTAGGGCTGCTAGTGGATTGTAATTTTCTATTTTTCTTTCCAGCTGTTCCATGTGACTGAACTTACATTCAAGAGCTGCAAAGCAGCTGGGAAAGAGATAGCAGCGTAGGAGAGTCCATTGGCAGCCTTTGAAGAAGCAGCTCACAGAAACCACATGAAGCCCCATTTTCTTCATGTGACCCTGTGATCCACTTGTCCATAGAGTGGGGGGAAACCACTTATATTTTATGCTTAGCTATGACCTCTATTGCTGACTGTAAAATAGTTGGCTTGCATCCAATATATTCCAGAACCGTGTTCTTGTAGCATAGTTCATTAACAAAACATTTTGCACTTTTAAAATCTTACAGTAGGAAAGAAAGTGGAAGCTTTGTGAGCTATTGATTATAACACATTTTATAGCTCCTGTGAAGCTGGCTGACCAGGTCATGTCAGAATGTACTCAGGTCAATTCACTTGTGTATTAGTATGGATCAACGCAATTAGTGTTTTGGGTGTTTAAACTTCATAAAACTAATGGGATGTTACATGCATTGTTTTCACTTATCTGTTCCTGTCATAATGTAATACCAAACATCCACATTGTAAATACCCTTGTAACTGAATAACTCAGACATCAAAGAAGCCTTGGGGAATGCTAATGAAGGACTTTATTCGAAAAGGTGCTAAGTCCAAAGCAAATGGCCATTGTGGTGATGACCTGAGGTCAGAGACTCCAAATGCATTCCGCATGCCAAGGAAAAGTCCATGTGGGTAGAGCCCAGGTCAGCTTGTCTTCTGTGAGAAGATATAAATATGGATTCAAAGAAAGACCCATTCTCTCTAGACTGTTTGGATTCTAATGGCGGAATAACTGAACAAGAAGATGGAGATCCCCCGAGTTATTCTGAGTAGCCCTGAGAGACTTTTGGGAAACTGGCAGATTATTGCATCTCTGCTACTATTTGGAATTATAAACCGAGACTCACCTGTACATATATTTTACCTGCTTTAACCTCTCAATAACTCACCTTTTCTTTTCTTAGCTAATAAACCTTTAGTTAGTTTACTACAGCATTGGCTGCCAGCATTGTCTTGGGGTAAGTGATTGGTCTCTTGGGACTGAGAGATACCTAAATGTGATGTGATTTTTGGTTTAAGTGACCTTTTATCACAAAGTCCAGTTTGTCTGGGTGGCAAGATAGACTGGAGAGGCTAAGGGGACTGTCTGTGACTCCATGGTAAGACTGTAGAGTGATCCAGGAGTTCACATTTGTTACAGGCATGGTGAAATCTAATTATAGAACACATCACCAGTTTAGGGTCTCTGCCCTTGTTTTCTGACAGTCTACCCTGAGGTAGGCACTCACAGTTGTGAGCCACTCCAGACAGTGTGACAGTTCCTTTTTAATTTTTGCGGGCGTGGAATTCCTCTCATGCCTGGATGCTACGGTCATGGTTGGGGGTTAGATGTATCTCTGACCCCCTTTATAAGTCGGAGTGCACTCCCTCTCAGGGCTCAGGCCTTGAGCATTCACATCTCTGGGTTGGAATCATGTGATTCTCCCACCTTTAGACCAAGATACTGGGCTATAGGCCCCCGTCCACCAACTGTGATTATTCAGCAAACCCAATGGGATTTCACCACACTACGAAGCTCTGTTTCCTCACTGGGAAGTTCTGACACCACTGCCACTCATCCCAGGTTTCCAGAATGATGTGATCCCACCACACCATGCTGGTTCTCCTGCACCAGAAGCGATGGTCCAACCATGGGCATACTGTGGCAATACTGGGATTTGCCATATCTGTTCCATGTGAGCTGAATGAGTTGTCATTGACCCTCCTGGTTATCCATCTTCAACATGTCAGAAAATTCAGCCCAAATTCCATCCACCTACTCCACTGTATAACCATTTGTCCCACGATAAGAAGCAGTTGCAGAAACAGAGCATCATCCCATTTCTGCATTTCTTCCACCCAGTTTAGCAGGGAATTACAGTGAGGGGCAAAGTCATCAGGAAATGTTTGATTGCAAGGGACAGCATCAACACCGCATAGGAAAGTGGTTCCTCGAACGTCTCCCTGTCTGCACGGAATCCTGGGATACACCATAGAATTTCAGTGGTGATAACAACAGTGGCAGAGCGGATGCGGGTATACATGTATACCCTGTGTTAAATCCATGTCCAGCACAGCATAAGGTGGACACTTGCGGTGGGTAAGGGGAACGTGCGTGAGCATGTACGTGGTCCAGTACTCAAGTGTGTGCATCAGCGTAGACATAGCCTATGTGGTCTTCCTGCTAGAGTAACAGTCCTGCCATTAAAATAACCATTCCATACCGTACAGCTCTAAATAGTCACACAGTAAACATTTCCCCTGACCCGGTCACATACAGTCTCTGAATTAATACAGATCAAGTATTCCTAAACTATTATATATCAGCCAATGTCTTTCATGACTACACAAGTCTAAGACTGCATGGTGTTACTTATTGGATGCACTACAATGGTGGGTGACCATAGGCTACAGCTGACAAACACTGATAATCCTAACCCTGCTTTTCCTCCATTTCTTTGATTAAATCCTCAACACCATTTCTCTTTCTGTGTGATATGTACCTAATAGTGTTCTTATTGCCAGGTAGTTACCCAGATTCCCCTGGAGGCACTTATCCTTTACAGCCAAATCCTCCTCACCTTATTCACACAACTCCCATTGGATTCAATGGATATTTTACATTAGTGAAGAAAGCTGCTTTTAGACCTTCATGATTTTGTGTTTGGTTTTTACAAGTCTCCTTTTATACAGTTGTGAGTCGCTTAACAGTGTTGTTAAAAAGTGTGTGCCCACATGCCCTATGCTGTGATTCATCACTGTGAGAGTCGATGATTCCTGCTTGGCTCTTCCAGGTACCGCCCATTCCTTTCCCGGTCAGCAGACTTCCCTATAGCCTTCCTTCTGGCCTGCCCTGGGTGCAGCATTCGCCACAGCCCACCTTCTAGGGGCTGCATTGAAGAATCTTTTAACAGGTTTCTCTGTTGCCCTCCTTCTAGGGACAGCAGTCCATCTGCCCTGGGTGAAGGGCTCTCGAAAGTCCTCCTGCACTTAAATCCTGGCAAACTTTCCAGCCTAACACTTTCCTGGCTCTGCTGCAGGAAAGCCTTCCTACGCCCTGATGGTCCCGCGCCCTGAGTGAATAAGCAGCAAGTATATCTTACAGAAGGCACTACATCTGGGCTACCATCATGCGACTCTTGGTCATTAGACTCACACACAGGCCAGAGCTTGGACCTCTAAACCCTTACAAGGTCAGATCACCCTGTACCATTTTTCCCTAGAATGTGATTTTTCATTGTTTATTAATAATGATTATTTGTTGAGTATTGACCATATACTTCATGCTCTATGA